GAAACGCGTCCGAAAAATGAACTGTAACTAAGTCAATACTTGCTACAGAGACACGAGAGATGTGTCTTTTTAAAGCTTGTATTCTCTTCTTTTAAATGAAGTAATTTATTAAATAAATAAATATTTCCAGTTTATGTAATCCGTTTGAAACCGAGGAGAGGTACAGTTTTTTCGTTCTCCCTTCATTATTTTTAATGAGCCGAGGCCGCCACGCCCCTAGCGCTTTTCACATGGTAAATAGGTGATCTAACGTTATGCATAGCACACGCCCAGCGATCAATGGCATAAAAACACGAAGTTTCTTCACTGATAGATTCATTGTGTTTTGAGGATGGCACGGTACTCAGACAAAGAGGCCCTTTAGATGATTCTGGACAGCGAGGAAGAATTCACTTTTCCTCAGAGGAAGATTAGCCTATAACTCGGACGAGGAACGGCTGCATTTTGAAGAACGAATTGATCCCGCGCCGAGGATAGGCCTACAAGTTCGGAGTAAGTTGTTTAGTGTTTTATAATTTCTTTTCTGATCGTATAGAGCTCAACTGAATTTTCAGACTATATTTTGCCTAGCTTTTGACATCTTACAGAAAAGATTGCCTCACAATATCCCTAACATTCGCTCGTGTAAACTTTTTAAATGTGATATTACTCTCTAAACATATTTGTATATTAAATATATAGTTTTGATTAGCTTATGACACTGATTATCATGCTAAAATACTGCCTTATGCGTTATGTATTTTGTTTGCGAATAACTGCATGTTTAGGTATAGCCTATTGATTTAGTGAAATATATTTCAGCCTCCGGTAAAATATGTGATACTGTCTAAATACAATATATTTTTTTTATAAAAATGTTTTGGTTAGCCTATGACACTACTTATGCTAAAATAGTGCCTTATGCGTAATGTAGTTGTTTGCGAATAACTGCTTAGGTTATATAACGAGAAATATATTTCAGGCTCCGGTAAAAGAGGTCTAAATACAATATATTTTTTATATAATTAAATGTTAAGTTTTGGTTATGACACTATATACGTAAATAACTGAATACAGGTGTAAATGTTTGAAATGTAGTGATGTGTCGTGTCGTTCGCGAACATCCGTTCATTGCGTGTAGTCCTATCACTAAATGCGTGCGGTCTATATGGGCCATCAACAGATATTTCTCCGTCCCATGGCCTATCAACCTATACATACATTGTGCATCCATACCCATTAATTGTCCATCAGTTTACTTTGGATAATGTATGCTAACAGTTTTTTTTTTTAGGAATTAGGAATGTGTCTGCATCATGCTCTCCTTCGCCAGCACCTCGCAGAGGGACACGCAGGTGTTGTTCAGTTCTCAGTGCGATCGAGAATCATACTGAGTAAGTGCACAGACGTAATATTTTACAGATGAAATTTAGCCTAATTGTGTTTACATCGTCATAATGTAGGCTACCTATTCTTGTGTGAAATTACAAAAAAAAATATATCCATGGCAATTAGTGATTGATTATGAAAATAATACAGTTTATTTGATTGTGTTATCAGCATGCTCATGCTTTTTTCTTTTTTATAACAGATGTGACAATGAACACGTCCATCCACCAGTTCCGAAGAGAGCCAAGGCAAACAAGCAGGCAAGCAACAGGCAGTCCACTTTTTTTATATATATATATAAAAAAACAACTTTGGTCTTTTTATGTTTTTTTTTTTTAAAGGATGTATTAAGTGATAGTAATGACTTTAAGTCTTTACGTTCTTAGGAAAGATTTCTATTTTGAATAAATGCTGTTCTTTTTAACTTTTTATTCATCAGTGAATCATTCTTAGTTCAGGCTGCCTCACAGCACCTTGATGGGCCATTGGGGGAGTGTCTTTAGTCTTCCCACCCAGGTGTAAATCACATTAATATTCATGGCCATTCACACTCCCACGCATACAGCAGTGCTGACCAAAAACTGACGTAAGAAATTTAAATCATTATATTGTTGTTTGTCAAAGAGTGGTCAGAATGATTTTCACTTCATTTTGAAGTAAAAATTCTAGCCTACAAGAATAGTAACACAAAAGTCTTGTGGACAACTATTCAGTATGTGTTAAATGGCCTTATTGCGGTGACATTTTTTTCCCCAAAACGTACTAACCACGCATAATATTTTTTTTCTATAAAATGCAAACATGTACATCCATTTTGCTCACATATTATTGTAGCAGAGTTTGTGCTGAATACAGCAAATTTATATGTTGGCAAATGGTATGTTTTAAGTAGCTGAAATAAGCACAAATGTCAGGGCATGTCAAAACATCTCAAGGGCCCCAAAAACACCTCAGACCCCAGAGGGTTAAAGACAACTAATGCTTGCTTTATGCTTGCAGAAATCATATCTATTCAGAGATGGTTATCACTTCTTACCTAACACATCAAGTTTCTTCAAATCATCGTTCAACTGTCGGTTATAACCTTTTAACCCTGAAATAGAATTTCAAACACAGTATAGTTTTTTCATATATTCAACCTGTCCATTACATCCAATAACTCAGACAGTTCCTTCAGTCGTTTCTCTTTACTTGGCATCACACATTTTTTCTCATTATGCCCTTTTCGATTTTTGCTCTTAAAAGAAGACCTAGACTTTGGTGAGGATTTCTGGGAAGCCAGGTCAATACCATCCTCTGATGATCTTTTATCTACAACCCCTGAGGCCCGTTTCAGAAAGGAGGTTAAGGTTAAGTGAAAACTCTGAGTATGTTGACCCTGAAATGAGGGAAACTCTGGGTTTTCCGTTTCAGAATGAGAGGTATGTCAAACCCGAGAGAGCAGGGTAAGTCAAGTCCGTTTCTGAAAGAGAGGTAACTTACTGTATACTCTGAACCTAACCTGGTCGGGAGCAGGTTTTCTTCGGTAAACCCAGAGTTTCTTTCAGTCTCCTCCCCCTTTTTAAAGTGTGAGCAATGTTTAAATACTTCATTCATTCACGCTGCAAAAATAAACTTAATGCAAACGGAAACAAGATTATTTTTCTTACCCCATTGGCAGATAATTGCAAAACATGAAAAAAGTACTTAAATTAGTTCCCCCCCCCCCCCAGGAAAGACATACCGTATTTAATTTTTATTATGTAGAAAATGCATCTTGATTTAATTGAATCATTAGATATTTTGACTGGAAACAAGACAAAAATTCTAAGTAAGAAAAGCATTTTTTGCAGTGCAGTGTTCATTCATTGCGTATTTTTCTATATATGCATATATATATATATATATATATACACTGTATATGCAGAGCACATTAGTAAGGATGCTGTATGCAGATCGGGAAGGAAAGTGAGCCTCGCTCTCACGCTCATTCTTAGAATTATTGTGTTGTTTCCTGGGCAAAAACCTGTGAGAGAATCAAAGAAGAGATTCACAGGATTGCAGGTCAGAGGTGGAGAAATCGGTTTAAATGAGGCTAATCTGATAAACGATATTCACTTGATAACATCTTGCTGTGACCTCAATGAAGATGCTCTACTGCCAAAACGGGTAATTAAAAACACGAGATGTGTTTATCAACCAGTTTTTTGGCATTAAAGGGATAGTTCACTTTGAAATTATTTTTTGATATGTTTTAGCTTACCTCAAGGGCATCCAAGATGTAGGTGTCTTTGTGTCCACAGTATTTTCAATTTTGTTATTTTTAGGTCAAACCATTCTTGTCTGTCAGTCATATAATGCAGGTCTATGGTCACCACCTCAAAGAGCATGCACAGAGAAGTCCAAATTAAACATGATTTAATGACTCGTAAATGTAAGTACACATTGATGGCCTAAGACACGAAACGAGCGGTTTGTGTGAGAAAACGAACAGTATTTATATCGTTTTTACCTATTGTAACCACAGTCACGTCCAAGTACTCTGATGGCGTGGGAGCCTCTGTCTGCGCAAGCGCCGGAAAGCCCCGGTGTATTCGGGTTCAAATAAATATGGTTTTGAAATAAATTCTACGTTGTCTGTTGATATACCGAAATCGTCTTCCATTGCGATTTCCTGTATATCTAAATATGTTTAGATCTTCACAGTGAAAGGTAAAACGTCTGAAATCTCTGTGTACACAATGAGTGACGTACACACGCGAGAGATCACTTCCGGCGCTTGCCGGCGCTTGCGCAGGCAGAGGCTGCGCCATCAGAGTACTTGGACGTGACTGTGATACAAGAGGTAAAAACGATATAAATACTGTTCGTTTTCTCACACAAACCGCTCGTTTCGTGTCTTAGGCCATCAATGTGTACTTACATTTACGAGTCATTAAATCATGTTTAATTTGGACTTCTCTGTGTATGCTCTTTGAGGTGGACCCCATAGGCCTGCATTATATGACTCACAGACAAGAACGGTTTGACCTAAAAATAACAAAATTAAAAAATACTGTGGACACAAAGACACCTACATCTTGGATGCCCTTGAGGTAGGCTAAAACATATCAAAAATTAATTTCAAAGTGAACTATCCCTTTAAGTCTAGTGTTCAGTTATGCATTTTAAAAAAAACAAATCCCAGCAAGCTTCACCTGTACAAAAAGTATTTGCATTTTAGCAAATCACACTATGCAATGTGCACAAATGTTCAGACCCTGAACTTGTTTATTGGTCACATAAGGCTACACATTCATCTACTGCATAGGCAATCAGCATGACTTAATTTAAACTGCACTAAACTAAAAAAAAAATGAGTATAAGAATAAAGATCCATAAGAACAACAAGTAAACAAACTATAGAAAGTGTAATCTGTGAAATAAGACTGAGTTCTAGAACTTAAGAAAATAGTATTTATTTTGCATAAAACATTTTTCACAAGGTAATGAACATAAAATATAAACTATACAACAACTTATCAATTCTTCATTGAGAAACACCGTTAAAATAAACATCTTAATTATGTTTGTGTGTGAAAAAAAATACCATCAGGAACTGAACGCTCTGTTCCCTTCAGATGAGCGGAGCGCTGCACAACAGCACGTTTATACAGATATATATACTTCACCAGGAACCACACACTTTCTTTCATCAAAAGCATGTAAAGCTCCCAGACAGGTCTGAGGTGCTGCACTTCAAGTAAACAGGATCTAAATTCACACAGATAGTGTTTGTTACCCAACAAACGCACAGTCTGCCACTTGAGCTTGTCATTCATCTCTTGTGCTCTGCACTTTTGAGTAGCTCTTGCACGGGTTCTTGAAGCACGCGGGTGGAAGCGACACGGGCCATGAGAACGTGCAGGGAACCGTTGTTCTAACGTTCTTCTCCAGGAAGTTAAACAGCAGGCTCCACCACGTTCGGTTCAGGTAGTTGCAAGGAGACCCTTTCAAGGCCTACAAAATCAGGAGAGAATCCAAAATGTGGTGGTTATTTGGGTCCAATTAGCCATTTAGCACGAACAAAACAATAACCCATTTGTCAGCATGAACCTGTAGAATATGAGCTTTTGTTAGCAACTGATTTGCTGCTCGAGAAACATTTCCAAAAAAACATTTGCTTGAAACAGTAAAGTTATTATTTATCATTAATTGTCAACAAAATTGTGCATCTCAGCAAATAGTAGTTTTCCATGCTGGAAATCCAACCTCAAATTCAATCTTCTGCATCTTCCCAAGTAAGAAGAGTGGAAGTTGAATGTTGCTTTTGTAGGATCTGTAGTTTATGCAAGCTTTTACCTGGTTGTTGGCCATGGTGTGGTACCAGTAGAAGAGGCGCGAGGTGATAAAATACGCCACCACTACATCCACGCTGTAATGCTCGTGCGCTATCAGGATACAGACCACACCCACTGCACTTAACAACCAGCAGATCACGTGATAGCAACGCCAGAGCGGCGTGCGGGGCGAGTCTACGACACAATACAACAAACTTACAAATGTAGTCACACAAAAACAAAAAGAACTAGCAAGTAGAGGCTCTCAGAGCAAACATTTGGGCTTATGAACACTCAATATTTAATCATACAATAATTGCTGATACGTCAAAACACGATGCGATGTGATTGTTGATTTGATTAGTTTCAGTGGCTTGAATATTATCATATTTGCCTATTCTACACAACTTGTAAATTTGTATTAACCCACAAATGCAACAAAAATATAACATTTAATCTCACTGGGACATCCACAAAAGAAAATACAACTTTTTATTTTTTATTTTAAATCATTTAAAATAAACACATGAGATCATCAATCGTCTGATGATGGCTCCATGCTGGCTCGCCAGTTTTTTTTTACATATAAAGAACGTTTCTTTTTAGTTATGTGAACGTTAGAGGAACATTCCATTCTAGTATTTTGAAAATGTTATGAGAACATTCTATTGTTATTACTGAAGAACGTTATTGAAAAGTTATGGAAACGTCCCCTGTTAGCTGGGATGTTGCCATTCATTTGATCAAGAACTACAGTGTAAAAGTAAAGACCCGATCACAACTAAAGCAGACAAAAACACCACTTTCGAAGGACCGTGTACAAGAGAACTGTTCTTTGCCATTAAGTTGTCATAAACTTAATAAGGCTGGTAAAATTGAGCATTTACCAGTTTTTGTGGTAAAAAAGAAGAAGAAAAAAAGACAGTAATGGTTTCCTCGTACTCACATTCCTGGACGAAGAGGAAGGTGAGGGTCAGCATGACCGTGTGGCCGCTGTACAGAAAGTCTCCACACATGATATGGGAGCCTGTGATGGACAAACCTCCTCCAGACACCAGCTGCAAAACTCGCTTGATTTTGCCGTGAGAATCACCATGGAGCTACAGAGAGAAGAAGACCGGATATGAGGTAAAAGCATCAAAGCTACACTTCACCATTACATATAATGAGACATTAAACATATAATTTAACACACAAATAAATGCACAGTCGTCTGCTTTCCAAGCTAACAGTAACAAGCTAACAGTTCTGCCAAGGTTCTCTCAAAGTTGTGAACAAACGTTCTTCCAGTAACATTAATAGAACGCTTGTTCAAAGTTATCTGGTCTAATTAATAATGTTCTCAAAATGATTTTTATACATTGTTTATGAAACATTTTAGTTGGAAACTTGTTTCAGAATCTTCAGAGAATATTCAAAAGTAACGTTAACATAATGTTTGAAGAATGATAAAATGGAATGTTCAAGATTTTTTTTTTATGTTGGATGTTCAGGAACATTCAGGAATAATTGTTTCCATAAGTTAATGGGAACATTGGCAAAATATTCTTAGATTATACATTTCATTAGTTGGGTTTTAACTTTGCATCGAGATATATATGTAAGAATGCGCTGTTGCATTTTATAAGTTAAGACGTATTTAGTGTTGTTTATATAAGCCAAAAATCTCACAATTAACCAGTTTTCTCCTACAATAAAAAAAAAAAAAATGCTGATGGGGAAAAAGTTAAAGTTACCAGCCACTGCCAGTATTTTTGATCATTTTCACAAAACTTTCATGGCCCTATAATATTTTGTTTTGTATGAATATCTGAACATGCAATATTGCAAACGAAGAAAGGCGCCTCTGCTTGTAAACAACAAAAGACTTTTTATTCTAGCTTCATGCATTCTTTTTTTATCAACACTTGAATGTGGATAAGTTTCATAAAAAAGCAACATTTTAAACAAAAAGCTGATAAAATCACATTTTATTCAAAGACTACAACGTGCATTTATGCTTTTATCTCTCGATTCTTGTGTCTTGATCCAGAGACTGTACTAATTATTCTGTTGGTTGAGCAGCACTCACCTTCGGGGCGCACTCCATGTGCATGCTGGGAACTGGAAGAGTTGTGATGTACATGGTCACCATACGGTACAAATACAACATTCCCTGCAGGAAGAAAAATCTTCGGCCCACAATGGCTCTGTCAACACAACGGGACAAGGAGGGATTATGGGACTGAGTTGAGTTTGTATTTACTACTGCATAGCATACTAAATAAAAGTAGCAATGCTGCTAAGGGCAAACTTAACCTAACCTTAACCCCTTAATGTCCTCCTGTGGTGAAAATCTAGCCTTTAATGTTGTTTATATGTCTATATGGTGTTTTTAATATGAATTTGCACATGGTTTGTCTTAAAGCATAAGTCAACACCATTGCTGAGTATTTTCTCTTTAAAACTGCAGTGAACCAAAGACAGTCTCAAAAACACGGTTTGAAATCGCTGGTGTTTCTGACGTCACAAACGACCTTGTAACCAATCAGATCAACGTGTGATCGTCAACCAGTGGATCTCTGAGCTGAGCGAGTGAGTGGAGGCGGGGCTCATTTGCAAATTCATATACTAAATGTATACTAAATGAGGCAAGGGTGTCGAGTTACATTCAAGCTATTTTAAGGCATTTTATTTTAAAGGCAAAAACGTTTAAATGTCATTTTGGTGATTAAAGGTGATTTTTAAGGGATAAAATTATTGACTACAGGGGGACTTTAAGACCCGTTCACACCATGCACAATAACTTAAAAGTTCTAAAAATCGTTCTAAATATAAAAAAAAAAATAGAGTCCATACAACAACAAGAACGATAACGGCACAGAGAAATTATATCACTGGAATCACTTTCATTTGATGAATGATAAAAACATTGATAGCCAATCAGAATCCATTCTGCTTTAAAGAGCATTTAAAGCAACAGGCGACAAAACTGCAGTGCGTAGAGAACGATATCATCTGCCGGTGTGGATGCTCATATACTGTAGTTATCGTTATAGTTAACTTTAGCCTTAAATTTAACTATAAGGATAACTATATTAGCATCCACACCAGCGGACGTGGATGCTACAATATTTTCACATCAAGGAACGTATTGTAAAGCTGCATAAAAAAAAAAGGAAAATTAAATAAATACGACTATAAAATAATAATTATTGTTAAGAAATATTACTATTGTAATATTTCACCCTAAAGTTAGAACAATTGTATTTAAGTAAAATAGTAATATTATTTTTTCACAGTACTTTAAAATTACAATCCTAATATACAGCAACAGTTCCGGAATTAAAAATCTCATTATCTCCATATGGAAATTGATTTTGAATACTAACTTATCTAAACCTGTGAAAAACAGCCCTGCTGTGAGCGACGAGGTTGTTAATCAATGGTGTATGGTTGAAGCCATCCGTTTGTATTATTTCAACTTGTTTTTAAATTAATCATGTTTAACAGCTTAAGTCGTAGCGAAAAACTTCATTAACCACGATGCTGTACAGAAATCCCACCAATCAGAGTGGCGGCAAGCAAATCGTGCCAAAAGAGCTCTTTAGCTCCGCCCCCTCCCATGAAGCACTGCGAAGGATGTAACCGAGTCAATCTCTCTACACTCTCAAAATATTTGTATACATTTTGTACAATAAACGTAAAATATTTTGTAGTTATATAAAACAGTAGGTTCATATTTCTCATAATTTGATTATGCGGTTCGCAACGCTTCATGGGACTGTAGTTCTCTCCATCACTAAAGCTGTTAAGTTCACAGAGTTTTGGTTTTATTCCGATAAAACGAGCAGTTCTTTCACAAACGCTCACCTGTGCTTGAGGAAGAGCCATTGGATGAACCACAGAGCCACCAGGATCATTCCGTTCACCTCTGTGACGGAAAACGCCCACTCCGCACGCGGCACGTAATCAAAGAACTTGTCCGGTAACGGCGGGCTGACGGACTTATCCGGGACTCTCTCGTGGATGACGGTGATCAGGACGGTCGTAAGGATGAGGTTAAAACCAGCCCAGATGAACGCGATTCCCGTCTTCCACCATTCCGACGGCAGCCGAGAGACGCCAGACTTCGGGATGGTGATGCGGATGTAATCCTGGTTTTTCCGCAAGGCTTTCCGGAAACCCCGCGCCAAACGTGTCGGCTTGCTGTCGTTTTTCCTGTCGGCAACCTGATTGCTAGTGGGCGTGTCCGGAGAGGGGCGTGTCTGTCCGGTTTGGGGGCGTGTCCTATCTTCCACCATCACCATCAAATGGAAGTCGCCGTTGTCTCGGTCATCTTGTTCGTCCAGGAGTTGAGATGTTGCCATCGCTTATACACTAAAACAGAGCGGAATACTATTTAATATTAAATACAGTATTTCATGTCATATTGAAAACAATATGCCACAATAAACATTTGTCAAACTGCTGTCACATGAACTCAATATGAACTCATTTAATTCAATGTGTTGCTTGCAGTTTCTGTGTAATTCTGTGTAATTAACAAATATTAAAACATTTTCTACACCAATTCTTTCAGTATGCATGCGTGTGTAGAATTCCATAAACGACCAATGTTGAATCTTTGTGAGAAGGAGGGATTATTTGAGTCCTAAGGACTGTAACAGAACAGATACAGTAAATATGCTTTTGTTGTGTTGGACAGCTGAACAGCACGGTAGGTTTCGCCGCTAGTAGCCATTTTACGATTATAATTACGTTCAACGTCCGCCTCCTTCCCTGAACTTGAACATTGTTACCGTTACGATTTAATTCTAATAAAACAGCTGCGAGTGCTGAATTACTACTCATACAGGTCACTTTACTTGACGAATTAAAATTGTGTGGTAACGTTTTACTTGGTCAAAACAATCACACTAAAAATACATTTAAAGGAGTGGTATAATGCCCTTTTCACAAGATGTAAAATAAGTCTCTGATGTCCCCTAGAGTGTGTGTGAAGTTTTAGCTCAAAATACCCCACAGATATTTTTATATAGCATGTTAAAATTGTCACTTTTTGAGGGTGAGCAAAAACGCTCCGTTTTTGTGTCTGTCCCTTTAAATGCAAATGAGCTGCTGCTCCGGCGCAGGGGGCGGAGCTTCAAGAGCTTGTGTCCTTTTACCTCACACAGACATGCACTGAAAATTTCAAAAACTTTTAGCCTTTTATGTTCAAACCGGAGACAGACAAAGATGGAGAGACTCAAGAAGTGACAACATTTCTGAATGGTTAGTTGATGAATTTATGTATCCCGTGAAATCACGTTCCCGGGGGCGGGGTTTATGTAAATTTTAGTGTTTGGGATGTCACTAACCCGGGAGGAATGTCGTGTAACTCCTACCAGCCGTGTGTTGTAGTCCTTAAAAAGCGATTTCTATAAAATAAAATATCTCCCTTTGCTTTGAACTTTGAGCGTTGTAACTTTGCAGATGTTGTTTATGCTCAAACAGCAACATTACACACTCAATACAGTTAGAAAAGGGAAATCATAATCAACCACCCCTTTAAGTGTGTTGAAACTCGAAAGTTATGTTATATCGTTACTACTATATTAGCCGCTTTCCGACCGGAGGGACTTTTGCAGTTCCTAGAACCTAACGTTCCTATAACCCTTTTTTTTCGCGTGTTCCGACCGGACTAATTTGGGGATTTTTTAGTTCCTCAGACCGTAGTTCCTATAACTCTTTCAGTACCTAGTCTAGAGCGAGGACTTTTTTAGTTCCCTTTCCCTAGGTCTACGTTGATTGGTTCAACTTATAAGTCACGCCCACTGTCAACACATTTTCTTCACTGTCTGTTGCAATTCGCCTATGTATGCTATGCTAACTCATAACTTAAGACAAACATAACGCATTCAACCAGCTAATTGCTATGCTTGCTAAACTTACCCGTCGTTTTGTTTGCCTCCTGCACTCTGCTCTTCTATCTTCTTCCATTATATTACTTAAAGGTGCCCTAGAATGTTTTTTATTTTTATTTTATAATGTTTCCTGGGTTACCCTTATAATGTTAGTATGTTTTTTAGATAAAAAATAATCATAATTTAGAAATAAATGGCATTTTTCCTAGCCTCCTTTTAGCCTCTGATTTGAACACTCTGTTTGAAGGGGCGTGTCTCTGTGGGATTCAGTGTAACCGCGGCCACTGCTGTGATTGGCTGACATGCTTGCATATGAAATAGCAACGCATTACATGTGAAACTCTCTCCCGAATACTTTACGTTTTTACTATAACAGCTATCGAGATTAACGAATCGTGAGATGTTTTTAAAGTATTTAGATCTATTCCCATCACATATAATGTTGCCGTGATGAGCATTGAGCAGATGACAGTGTGTTGATCGCGAGAATGAAGATCTAATCATTGCAAAGCAGTTTCTGCACTCTCTCTAATGCTTTCACCAATGCAAACACGATGATGTAAATACAGTAAGAGCTTCGTTGTGCAGTAACGCGCGTCATTGATTTCATAACGAGTTTGGCAAGTGTCCAGATAAACTCGCGCTGTGTGGAAAGATTGTTCTTTGATCGCTTTCTGTATATAATTTGTTCACAATTTAAATACGATTATTTTCATCCTACTAAAAGAAACGATGTGAAGCTAATATTTTAGTCACTGGCTTGACTTACTGATGCATAAACAGTATTGAACGATTTTGAGAGAAAGATTACCTGTCTGAACTTGAACAATTACACATCAGAAAGTGTTGCTTGGTAGCTCGATCCGAGGCCAGCTCTGTATTGGCCCAAGTTGAGGAAACACTCGGTGAAATGTTTGGAAATTTCCAGAGAAAATAAAATTAACCCATTGTTTCTTCAGAGGCTCAGATGAAGGAACTAAAAAATACTTTTGTGTTCATGTGTACATCCACACTGAGCAACTGCCATGCTTCGGCTGCGCAGTTCCGCCTGGCATTGAGGGCTGGCATTATGCAAATATTTGGAGGCGTACATATTAATGATCCCGACTATTGCGTCACAGTCGGTATTGTGTGGAGAACCGACCGTTTTTCAGGGGTGTTTTTCATAAACGTGAATTAAATGAGAACGCGAAAACAGTCCAGTTTGAGATTCACTCTATGTCATGTCCATGCACTGAACTCTTGTTATTTGACTATACCAAGGTAAATTCAATTTTGAATTATAGGTCACCTTTAAGATCATATTACGCTGGAGCCTTAGTCTTCTGTGTTTCTCTGTACAGAACTCAAGCATAGTCTTTAAACACCGCCGTTCGTACTCGTTATTAAGCTCCCGGCAAGGCAGAACAGGAACATTTGCCGATAGCCTCCTCCATGCTGGTTTGTTGTTGTTGTATGTGGCGCCGCCGCCGTGCTTGCGTCACTCCCTTACCCCTCCTACCAGTTCCTATGGCCACTTGGCCAGTGCGAACGCAAACAGCAAAACCGAGTTTGGGGGAGAGTAGTTCTTAGAACTGTTTAGAAGTGGACAGTTCCCATAACTAAGTTCCTGTAACTACTTGGTCGGAAAGCAGCTAATGAGACACTTGTTACACATTGCATTAAGCTATCAATATGAGAATATAATTTTAATGACTTGTGTTGCTAAATGGCATGCATATAGGCTATCGAATGGTGGAGCAAATGCTGTATTACTGTTCCTATAAATAAAGCTCTCTCTATTACTCTCACTATCCTGTTAGACACTTGACAGAATAGTGTTGTCTCTGAGGTAAAACATGTGTATTGCGGTTAAATCAAGAAAACAAGGGATTCAAACAACAAGACTGTGCCAGTTATCCCTAAACTCTTAAAAACCTTATTACCTTTTGTTTTACTTGCACTTGTACCATTCGCACTGAGTAGGGATGGGACGGTATGAAAATTTCATATCACGATTATAGTGACCAAAGTTATCACGATTATCAATATTATCACGGTTTTGTTAACATGAGATGGAAATGTTCAAAAAGAACTGATGCTCACCCTGAAAACATTTGAAAATCAACAAACAAAAAATACAATTAGCAGTAATATGCACTTTTTTAAGCATCAACATTATATTAACATTAACATGGAGCCCTGAGAGTGAGAGGTATAAGTTTTCCTAGTGCAGGTTTTAATGAACCCGTCATTAAACCCTATCATTAATAATGATAATAACAATTATGGATGTGTGTATGACTGAATATTATTATTATTAATAAATAATAAATCACTCACTCTCTCTCTCTCTCTCTCTCTCTCTCTCTCTCTCTCTCTCTCTCTCTCTCTCTCTCTCTCTCTCTCTCTCTCTCTCTCTCTCTCTCTCTCTCTCTCTCTCTCTCTCTCTCTCTCTCTCTCTCTCTCTCTCTCTCTCTCTCTCTCTCTCTCTCTCTCTCTCTCTCTCTCTCTCTCTCTCTCACACGCACGCACACACACACACGCACGCACACACTTTAAATGAAAAAAATATGTTGGTTGGGTCAGGGTGACTAAACTACTGGAATACTTATGACTGTTGTAAATAGCAACGCACTACACAGCGCACATCCATGTCTCGGATCACCGCGGACGCAATCTCTGGTTTCATTCAAATGTGTATGTCTTGCGTCTCAGTTTTGATTGTATTGAAAATTAAATCAGAGTAATTTAGTATTAATACTACTACAATATTGTTGTAGTGATCACATTTACTTTACGATTGATTTGGACACTGTAACTTGTATAATGGATTTATAAACCGGTAAGATTTAAAAACATTAAGTTAATCACAATTCAATATTTCATGTCCCTGAAATTATTTCTGTGGTAAAAAATAAAACTGTAATAAGTTTACTATGAATGAATACAATACATTATCCCTTAAATGTCACCCTTAATAGTTTGAATATGTTCATTCGTCTTGGCTCAAATCCACTTGCTGTAAAACTTTTCTCTTCGCGGAAGCTTTGCAATAATTACAAGTGAGATAATGAAATAATTCATCTCCAATAATTTTTTGTCTAATTATTTGCCCAAGTTAGTTGTGGTATTAAGGTAAAAATTAACTCAGTGGGTGGTTGTCACGTAACCTTAGATGACTTAGCAGATTTGACGTGTTTCCCCCTTTTGCAGCGACTTTCCTCTTGCAAGATTTGCAGACAGGGTGCCCATCCCCGATTAAATTGCCCTCGGGACTCTTGTAATAGCCAAAATACGACCATACCTCCGATTTTGTCCTCTTGGATGGCTGAAAAATCTCCTGTGCGCTGTCACTGCCTTCCGCCATGTCTTCTCGCGCAAAAAAACAACATTGCATCTGCGCACCTGCTCGCGCTTGCGCCAGACTGATTCTGGCTGGACAGGATTTACCGCGAGATTTCAAAATCACGATAATCAAACACGGTTTTTATGATAATTAAATTTTAAACGATAATACTAACCGCCAGGACATTTTATCGTGGTTTATCGTGAAACCGGTAATCGTCCCATCCCTAGCACTGAGACATTTCAAATAATACTAAACTGTATGATAGTTGTTCAAATTAAAACCATATAGATTCGTGTGTGAGTTTGGGTGATCTCTGCAAGAGTGGGGGATGCGGGGAAGAAGTGTGTGTGTGAGATGTTCAAATGTTAACTTGCAGCAAGGTCCTTCGTCTCATAGACCAGTGGTCAGGTGACAGGTCTCTCCCTTCAACCAGTTTTTCCAGTCTTACAATTGTTACAATATTACAAAATTATTACACTGGTTAAAATAGCTGATTTCTCTGGATTTAAACATTGTTGGAAACATTTGGGATAAAGTACGTAAACAAGTCAACACAACATAGATCCTTGTTCAAGTGGTTTTTGGATATTTTAATCTAAAAATCTTACATATTGTGCCTTAAAGTCAAATAGCTTGGTAAAATTGACATTGTGCAAACATGACGGAAACCTACACTGCAAACAGGTTGTTTTCGCTCGATTTAACCCCAAGTCATTTTAAGGCATGTCATCTTGGAAACTAGTCCAGTACAGCTACTTTACTGGGGAAAGACAGAAATCTGACGGTCAAGATTACATTTTGATTACATAGCCCTGTTTCAAATAAATTCTGACAAAAAATCGGATAATTTTAGCACTGTTGTAAAAAAAAAAAAAAATTGCATGTGTGTGCTATATAATCATTTACATTTAGTCGTTTAGCAGACGCTTTCATCCAAAGCGACTTACAAATTAGGACCAAGTTAAGCGAGTCGTGTAAAATGAAAATAACAAACAATCAAAAACATTATACGAGCAAGATTGTCAATGTATTCGAACCAAACTCGCATTCCAACAATTTCTGACATGGCTTTCCATGCGTATCGTTATAATATCATAGAAGCTGTAGTGTGTTGATTTAGTTCAGTCCACAGATGTTTGGGCGTTTCAGTGTGTGTGTGTGTGATAGAGTAAATCCAAGACACACCCTGAAACCTGTGACACACGTTCAGGTTTCTCATTCAGATCTCTCTATGGACTGACCCTACAGCAGTCTGACCGGTTTGTGCCGTCGGATTTGAAACTCAAACTCAAGCCCCCGTCTAGATCATCCCCCGCTGAACCCCAGAAATGAATTACAGATTTCATATCCATATCAGTCTAAATGAGGAAGGTAGGAAGGCATCAAGGCACATGCAATATTTAGGCGTGTCCCAATTCTTTATGCACTATTCTATGCGGTTTAGTAGTGTAAATAGAGTTCACACTGATAATTCCAACAACATGACGTGCACTTCAAATACACAGATGATGCACTTCAGTTGGACACTTCATGATAACTTCTATACCCGTTTTACACTAGTGCTTAGGTCTGTACTCCAAAACATTCATGAACTACAACATTTAAAGGGTTAGTTCACTCAAAAATGAAAATTATCCCATATTTTACTCACTAGGTGTATATGACTTTCTTCTTTCAGTCGAACACAATCAGAGTTATATTAAAAAATATCCTGGCTCTTCCCAGCTTTATAATGGGAGTAAATAGTAACTGAGATTTTGTAGCCCAAAAAAGTGCATCCATCCATCATAAAAGTAATCTATACGACTCCAGGGGTTAATAAAGGCCTTCTGAAGCGAAGCCATGCGTTTTTGTAAGATATTCATATTTATAACTTTATAAACTATTATCACTATAGCTTCTGGTAACAGCCGTACGCGAGTCTTGGGATAATTTATAAAGTTATAAATATGGATATTTCTCTTAAAAAAACACACATCGCTTTGCTTCAGAAGGCCTTTATCGACCCCTGGAGTCGTATGGATTACTTTTATGATGGATGGATGCACTTTTTTGGGATACAAAATCTCAGTTACTATTTACTCCCATTATAAAGCTGGGAAGAGCCAAGCCATTTTTTAAACTCTGTGTTTGGCTGAAAGAAGAAAGTCATAAACACCTAAGATGGCTTGAAGGTGTATAAATAATGGGATAATTTAAATTATTGGGTGAACTAACCCTTTAAGTTCAGATCTGTTCTCAAAAAGGGGTTGACAGTAAACAGGTTTAAGAAAACACACCACAGAATCACTATGGTGCATGCTCGAAAACATGGTAAAACCATGACACGTTTTAGTCAGTGCTGTCTTGTGAAAGTCACAGGATGTTTGACTCATTGCGTGTAAATGTTTGACAGGTAATTGATTGATTTGACAGCATTGCTGAGCTGCCGCAGAAGTCATTGAACTCACACCTGTGCACGCGCACACAACACGCGGCGCGCCCCCCGAAGTCAGAGAACTTCAGCATCATCATCATCATCATCATCATCATCGGAGGCCAAAAAAAAAAAAAAAGTTCCGGACCATCCGGATCCTAATGGAGTTATGATCGATCCGGATCAGCGCGTGGCTGCCGGTAAAACCATCTCAAGATCCCGAAATAAACACAAACACAGAGAATGCGTCTGAAACACACTATAGCTGTCTACTAGACACCAAAAACACCTCAAAATGCAGGCTAGGTAGAAAACTCACCAGGTTCTGTGACATTCTCTGCTATTTCTTTATGATTCAAAACCACATCAGGTACGAACCTCGCAGTTTTTACTTGAGCGTTCATACGCAAGGCAAAGCAACAATAGAAACAAACAAGAATCACTTTACATACCTGATGACAGTTAAAATCCAGCGCGACACACACATAAAACAGCGTTTCTAGATCCAACACCGAGACCGAGTGATGTTACCTGTTTAACACCGGAAGACTCGCTGAGCGACGCTTGTGGAGGGTGGGCTTTAACCCCGCCCACACCTGCAGCCACGCCCACGTGGGCTCAGAACCACGCCCACTGCATGCATTATTGCGTATTTACAAATTACAGAAAAATGCGTGTTATGCAATATTGGCCTCAGGAATGAGACTGGAACTCCTTCAGAAATGCAACAACTGAACTGTAAACTTGTACAAGTGATTAACGTTCAAAACTTTTAGAATATATTTGAATATTTATTTGAACATTGTTTACCTTTTACCATACCTTATTGTTAACCTCCCTTTGTTTTCTTGTACTCTTGTATGCAAATACATTTTCATAGTGCATATTTTATTAATTTTGTAACACTTTACAATAAGGTTCATTAGTTAACATGAACTAAGAATGAACAATACTTCTTTAGCATTTATTAGCCTTAGTTAATATTAATTTCAACATTTACTGTTACGTTATTAAAATCAAAGGTTGTGTTTGTTAACATTAGTGAATGCACTGTGAACTAACATGAACAGCTGCATTTTAACTAACATTATTAAAGATGAATAAATACAGTAACAAATGTATTGCTCATTGTTAGTTCATGTTAGTTAATACATTAATTAACATTAACTAACAAACCTTATTGTAAAGTGTTACCATTATATTATATGATATGTTGATGTATAGATTATTCTATTTATGCGAGTGCTTTGTGAAAAAACAACATCATTTTTCACTTTATTTAAAAAATATGAATCTCCATATTTCGCAAGCAAAATTATCTGCCAAAAAATAATCTTCTTTCTGTTTGAATTAAGGTTGAATTATTGGTGGATAATTTAGCTTTTTTTAAGCATCAACTCACTTAATTTTGATTAATTCCCCCAGAAAACAGGGCTTAATATCTTATGTTATTTTACTCATCTAGTAAATGCATCTTGATTTAAGAAATGTTTGATATTTGGACTGGAAACAAGACAAAAATACTGAGTAAGAAAAGCATTTTTTGCAGTTTTATTTATTATATCATAAATACAATAAATATAGTTTCAGCATCTTTTATAAATGTGAGCTGAGTGTTAAACATGTTAATGCAGAACACCGAGGCTTTTGGAGTTTTTTACTGATTTATTGGTGGGATTTTGATCATGATTGACAGGATGACTGTGTTGATGAGCTGTTATTGTTATTTGATCCCGCCGTTGCTGATGTTCGGGGCCCGGCAGAGGCCCTTCCCTCGCACTTCAAAGGCCCCGCCCCTATAGGAGGCCACGCCCTTCGCATCTGTGCACAGGTCGGGCAGCAAGCGCTCCCAGATCCGCTGCTTGGGGTTCAGCTCTTTCTCTGGTTCACCTGCACATCACAAACACAGGCCGTCACCGACTCTCATGGCTGTTTACAGTGTTGGGGAAACGCATTACAAGCAACCTGAGTTACGTGATCAGATTACTTATTCAAGTAACTAGTAAAGTAACGCATTACTTTATCAATTTATAACAAGATATCGAAGTTACTTTTTCAATTAAGTTGTTTAACTAGTTACTGTTTCACATTTATTGACTGACAGCTCTCATGTCCTCATGTTGAGAGAAATAAAGTGAGGAGGTGTGTGTGTGTGTGTGTGTGTGTGTGTGTGTGTGTGTGTGTACTATGTGTGTGTGTGTGTGTGTGTGTGTGTGTGTACTGTGTGTGTGTGTGTGTGCTATGTGTGTGTGTGTGTGTTCTGTGTGTACTGTGTGTGTGTTCTGTGTGTACTGTGTAGGTGTAGTGTGAGTGTGTAGTGTGTGTAGTGTGAGTGTGTAGTGTGTGTGTGTACTGTGTGTGTGTGTGTGTGTGTACTGTGTGTGTGTGTGTGTTGTGTGTGTACTGTGTGTGTGTGTGTACTGTGTGTGTGTGTGTGTTCTGTGTGTACTGTGTGGGTGTAGTGTGAGTGTGTAGTGTGAGTGTGTAGTGTGAGTGTGTAGTGTGTGTGTATGTGTGTGTGTGTGTGTTCTGTGTGTGTGTTCTGTGTGTACTGTGTGGGTGTAGTGTGAGTGTGTAGTGTGAGTGTGTAGTGTGAGTGTGTAGTGTGTGTGTGTGTGTGTGTGTGTGTGTGTGTGTGTGTTCTGTGTGTACTGTGTGTGTGTTCTGTGTGTACTGTGTGGGTGTAGTGTGAGTGTGTAGTGTGTGTGTGTAGTGTGAGTGTGTAGTGTGTGTGTGTGTGTGTGTGTAAACATGCTGGTTATTGTAGTTCTAGTCTAAATGTGAACACAGGGTTCTCAAGTTTTATCAAAAGCTTGGAGTGAGATCACATGCGGTTAGGGGAGGAGCCCAAGGGGAGGAGCCCCAGTGGGGACCCCCCCCCCCCCCCCTGCCCCCCAATTTTACCCATTGTTCATAATTAACCAGCACAAATAAAAATGATAACAATTGGTAAATCTGATAAATGACAGAGCAATTCATCACATCAAATATACTCTTTAATGTTATATTTCAAAATTACTAAAATATAACAAATTGCTCCCAACAGTTTGGAAAAACAAATCTTTTTGCATTTTTCCCTGACATCTTTGAAAAATACAAATGCAATGGCAATGATTATAATGTATGTTTTGACAGGATATAAGATATTACCCAGAGCACTCTGCCTTAATACATGTAGCCTTAATGTAACTAGAAAGACTATTAATACAGTATAATATATAATTTAAAATAAAATTCAATTCTTCAATAAACTTCATTACTTCCCATACCCACTAACATTTCCCTTAGCAAAAGCTTCTGGCTTGGTTGCAAAGTAGTTGTAGAGTTTTTGACTGCATCAATAATAATGTGTATACGATTGGCTATATATTAAATTTTCTAGCCTAAAAATGTTAGACGAGCTTTCTTCCAACTTACCTTCCCCATCACGACGTGTGTTCGCGCGATATTGTTGGTTACCTAGTAACCAGAGCCTCTGCTAGTAACGAACGTACGGTGGCCGAGAATGTTCCGTCAACTTCCGTGTGTTCGCGAATCTATGTTGCCTAGTAACGAACGCAATCTGGCCGAGATACGGACGCGCTGGCGGCAGGAAACTTCACTTTGTGTGCCTGCGCCTCGTATACAACGTTATATAAAGCTTGCAGGACAACTTGGTTGGCATTGCCTTTTCAGCGTGAGAAATACACGGTGTGGCGTGTGAGCGTGTGAACTGATTGAATTGCGTGTGTCTCACGGCCAATGCGTAAGACTTGAGAACCCTGTGAACATGTTTGCTCATCTCACTTGCACGAAAACATTCAGTATTCCTCAAAATGAATAAAAACAGTAAAATGCAATCTCAGAATTTTACGCAAAACTTTTATAATTAAAGGAGCTGTATGTAAGATTGTGGACAAAACTGGTACTGCAATCACTTTCAAATTACTGTAGAGCGGTGCATCTTTCAATGATCTAATTAAACCATACTAATACGCAAAAATGACTTTAGATTAGATTTAGAAATAAGAGTGTTGAACTCTTCTCCTGTATATTGCTCTTTAATCTGCAGCTGCGGAGAGGTGTGTTTGAGCGGCGCCCTCTCCTGTACAGGAGTGAATCTGCATTTCCTTCAGCGTGAGGCTTATTCACTTCACTTTAGGTGTGTAAGGGCCTTAACATTTGCCAAAAATATTACTTTTTTGTTGTTGTTTAAAAAAAACAAACAAGCAAGCCCAGCCCAGGTGAGAAAAAGTAACGCAACTTATCATAAAAAGTAACTAAGTAACGCAATATTGTAATGCATTACTTTTAAAAATACCTTTCCCCACCACGGGCTGTTAATGCGGGGGTTATGGCGATCCGCTCTTACCGGGGTAATTCTGGAACGTGATTCTGTCGCCAGGCTGAGCAGAAGTGGGCGGAGTCAACGGCTCCATGCTCTCTTGATTGACAGCGCAGAGGAGGCGGGCCTGCGACTGAACACCTCGAACCTTCACTGGCCGTACGTTACACAACAACACCACCAGGCAGCCCACCAGCTGCACACACACACACACACACTGGGTCCATATTATTATTATTTTTTTATTTTAAAGAAATTAATAATTTTATTCAGCAAGGATGCATTAAATTGGTCAAAATTAGATTTATAACATTACAAATAAATGCTGTTCTTTTGAAGTTTCTATTCATCAAAGAATCATGAAAAATAAAATGTATGACAGTTTCCACAGAAATATGAACAGTTTTCAACACTGATATTAATCATACTTTTTTTTTTCATGTTAGACCTCGACGGGGTGTACCGGTAAGACTGTGATGTTGTTCACCTGTTCTGGAGGCACGTGATTGGCCAGTCCGCTGACCACGGTTCTGGGGGCGGGTTCTCCTAACTCCACCTCCTGGACGTACAGTGACGCCGAATCCGGATGTTTCCGAACGTCCAGAATCCGAGCGACCCGCAGGTCCAGACGGGACACGTCGGGTTTCTGCTCGCGCATCAGACCCGACTCAGAGGTCTTCAGGAGCGCCGCGTCCACACCTGAGACACACACACCACACACATCTCTCACTAGAAGCCAATCTCACACACACACAACAGAATGAACATATGCAAGTCAACAACAACAAAACAGCATGAACAGATGCTGCCGCAGTTTACTCGGATATTGATCCGGATAATAACTTTATAACTTTATCCATAACTTCACATTTGGCAGATGGATTTGTCCAAAGCGAAATGCTATGGAAGGTTGTTTATGCCATGTAATAAAAAATATCTCACAATTCTGACTTTTTTTCCTCGCAATTACAACTTTATATCTCACTTATAACTTGCAATTATGCGTTTAAATCTCGCGATTCTGCGAAAAAAGTCAGAATTGCAAGATATAAACTCACAAATGTGAGAAAAAATAATTGTGAAAAAAGCAAAAAATTGTGATATAAACTTGCAATTGCGTAAATTTAAACTCGCAATTGACACAAAATTCTGAATTGTATAGTGTGATCTCGCAAATGCAAGAATTTTTTTTTATGATATAAACTCAAAATTGCGCAAACTATTGTGAGATAAACTCGCAAGTGCAAGAAAAAAGTTTGAATTGTAAAATTTTGTCGCAATTGTGAGAAACAAAACCCAGAATTGTAAAATATACTCGCAATTCCAAGAAAAAGCTAAAATTGTGAGTTATAAACTGGGAATTGCGAGAAACTTGCAAGTGCAAGTAAGAAAGTCATAATTGTAAAATATATTCACAATTGCAAGAAAAAAGAAAAAAAATTGTGAGAAATAAACCTGCAATTGCAAGTAACAAAATTGTGAGATATAAACGGTCTATTTCCAGCAAAAAGCCATAATTGTGAGTTATAAACTCGAAATCTCTAGAAAAAGTCAGAATTGTAAAATAGTGTCACTGGATTGTGTCCATAGTCTTGCGATGCATTCAAGGTTTGCATCTGATCAACTCATGCATTCACTGGGAATCGAACTCACGACCTCGCCGTTGCAAGCGCCTAAAACATGATTCGTCTAAGCGTTCAGCGTGAGGTCTTGAGACGCCCTAGAGATGCTAGAGGTGCTAGAGATGCTGGAGATGCTAGAGATGCTAGAGATGCTAGAGGTGCTAGAGATGCTGGAGATGCTAGAGATGCTAGAGATGCTAGAGGTGCTAGAGGTGCTAGAGATGCTAGAGATGCTAGAGATGCTAGAGGTGCTAGAGATGCTGGAGATGCTAGAGATGCTAGAGATGCTAGAGGTGCTAGAGATGCTAGAGATGCTAGAGGTGCTAGAGATGCTAGAGATGCTAGAGGTGCTAGAGATGATAGAGGTGCTAGAGGTGCTAGAGATGCTAGAGGTGCTAGAGATGCTAGAGATGCTAGAGATGCTAGAGATGCTAGAGATGCTAGAGATGCTAGAGATGCTAGAGATGTTAGAGATGTTAGAGATGCTAGAGATGCTAGAGATGCTAGAGATGCTAGAGATGTTAGAGATGCTAGAGATGCTAGAGATGCTAGAGATGCTAGAGATGTTAGAGATGTTAGAGATGCTAGAGGTGCTAGAGATGCTAGAGATGCTAGAGATGCTAGAGATGCTAGAGATGCTAGAGATGTTAGAGATGCTAGAGGTGCTAGAGATGCTAGAGGTGCTAGAGGTGCTAGAGATGCTGGAGATGCTAGAGGTGCTAGAGATGCTAGAGATGCTAGAGGTGCTAGAGATGCTAGAGATGCTAGAGACTCGATGTTAGAGATGTTAGAGGTGCTAGAGATGCTAGAGATGCTAGAGATGCTAGAGATGCTAGAGATGCTAGAGATGCTAGAGGTGCTAGAGATGTTAGAGATGCTAGAGATGCTAGAGGTGCTAGAGATGCTGGAGATGCTAGAGGTGCTAGAGATGCTAGAGATGCTAGAGGTGCTAGAGATGCTAGAGATGCTAGAGACTCGATGTTAGAGATGTTAGAGGTGCTAGAGATGCTAGAGATGTTAGAGATGCTAGAGATGCTAGAGATGCTAGAGATGTTAGAGATGCTAGAGATGCTAGAGACTCAGTGTTGGACTCAGTGCTGCTGCTGATCACCTCTGCGCTCTCTCCTGCGCCGGCCCTCAGGGCGAGACGAGCTCGGGTCCGATCGGGCCCCGGTGAGGCGCGGCGACGGGGCCGGTTCCCCCAGCAGGGCCGACTTAGATGCGATTGATGCCGTCAGAACTCGCTCCTGATGCAGCTTCACTGAAACACACACACACACACAGTCTGGTTCGCTATCTTTGTGGGGTAGTAATGTTTTTTATACTATACAAACTGTATATTCTCTCCACACACACACACACACACTAACCAAACCCCTTAACCTACCCATCACACACACACACACACACACTAACCGTACCCCTTAACCTACCCATCACACACACACACACACACACACACACACACTAACCCGACCCCTGAACCTACCCATCACACACACACACACACACTAACCCGACCCCTGAACCTACCCATCACACACACACACACACACACACTCCTCAATATAGGTGACCTCTAGCCTGGGTAAACCCAGGCAACTTCCGGCAAATTTAGATTTGCTCTGAAAGTTAGTCTGGCAAAGAGCTCATTCAAGCCCATTTCCAATCCGCCGAAATCGAGGCACCAATCAGAAGCGTTGGGGCGGGCTTTACACGATGACGACAGCGCTGGGATTTTGAACATGATTTTGTAGCCTACATTACAAAGATGGATGCCGCCGTCGAACATCACTCGTTCCAATCAGCTATCACATCTGTTTTAAGCAATTTGAACGTTTCCTTTTAGTTAAAAACCGAGCAAAGAACAACACTCGGAGATGTGTCTCCGCCGCTCTGCATACGTCATGCGTCTATGACGCTTTGCCAGACCATAACTCAGTTACAACTGAGAATGCTCTGGTTTAAACCAGGCTCGGTGACCTCAGGTTTTACTCTCCTTTTGGTCAATGTAATATAAACCTATACACACACACACACATGTATTTGTGTGTGTGTTAAGTACCTGCTTTCCTCTTCTGTGTTTCCTGCAGGTTATTCTTCAGATCACTGATGTCTTTCTTCAGTTTGGCATTTTCAACAAGCAGTTTCTTCTCTTCCCTCACTGACTTCTGCAGCACTACACACACACACACACACACACACACACACACACACACACACAAACATAGGTTTAGGGGTCAGGTTAGTGTGTGTGTGTGAGAGTGTGTGTGCGTGTGCGTGCGTGTGTGTGTGTGTGATGGGTAGGTGGGTAGGTTTAGGGGTCAGGTTAGTGTGTGTGAGAGTGTGTGAGAGTGTGTGTGTGTGTGTGCGTGTGCGTGCGTGAGTGTGTGTGTGTGCGTGCGTGCCTCTGCGTATGTGTGTGTATGTGATGGGTAGGTTGGTAGGTTTAGGGGTCAGGTTAGTGTGTGTGTGAGAGTGTGTGTGTGTGTGTGTGCGTGTGCGTGCGTGCGTATGTGTGTGTGAGAGTGTGTGTGCATGCGTGACTGTGTGTGTGATGGGTAGGTGGGTAGGTTTAGGGGTCAGGTTAGTGTGTGTGTGTGCGTGTGTGTGTGTGTGTGTGTGTGTGTGTGTGTGTGTGTGTGTGTGTGTGTGTGTGTGTGTGTGTGTGATGGGTAGGTGGGTAGGTTTAGGGGTCAGGTTAGTGTGTGTGTGTGCGTGTGTGTGTGTGTGTGTGTGTGTGTGTGTGTGTGTGTGTGTGTGTGTGTGTGTGTGTGTGTGTGTGTGTGTGTGTGTCTCACTGGCTTTCTCCTGCAGTAACAGGAGCTGCTGTGTGAAAAACTCCATCTCTTCTTCATCCTGAGGATCTGATATTTTATCAGACATCTGCACTGAGACACAAAACACACATCAGCGCTCATGAATTCATGTGTGTGTGTGTGTGTGTGTGTGTAGCAGCTGTCACTGTCCAGCTACTATAAATACACACACACTTGTTCAAGCCACAAGACCAACTCTCTCTTCTCATTACCGCTAACACACATGTACAAGAGCGTACAGACACTGAACTGAACACAACACACACAACACAACACAAAAACAGAAACTAAAGCTACCAAACACTTCTGTCATGTTCATGTCAAAACAAACACACACTCTCAAACCACAGACACACAACAACACACAACACAAGCAAGAACATGTTCAGATCTTCTATAAAAGCGTTGGAACATTGCTGTTGATTATGATTATGCAGTATTATATGTGCACTAATTACATTATTAAAGTGGGTGTGTAGAAACAGAAACACGCAATTAAATGTTACGGTTACAGAATTTTCACAGAACGTCCTCATGTCAAAGTTGTGAACAAACGTTCTTCCGGTAACATTAATAGAATGTTTGTTCAAATTATCTGGTCTTTAATAATGATCTCAAAATATTATTTATATATCGTTCTTTAGGAACGTTTCAGTTGGACGTTCATCTGACATTTTTTTAAATGTAACTACTTGCTTCAGAACGTTCAGAGAACATTCAAAAGTAACGTTCCCATAATGTTTGAAAATGGAACGTTGGTTTAGGCGTTTTAAACGATTTTTTTTTGTGTGGTAATATTCAGACAACATTCATAAATAACGTTTTCATAACTTAATGGAACATTATTATTACCTTGAAGGTAAACATGAACTAACAATGAAAGACTTTAGCTGGTAAATTGTTATGTTATGTTAATTTCTGCATTATTTAAATCAAAAGTTGATTTTATTGTTAATATTATTAATAATATGAATAACAATGATATTGTTAGTTGTTCATTTTATTTAATGGACCCGAGCTGACAGTTGTTAAACGTTAAAAAAGAGATGTATTGCTCATTGTTACATGATTGTTCAGTTAAAGCGGTGTCGTGTTAGTTAATAACTAATGATCTTTGCAACGGAAATTAATCAATCAAAAACTAACTTTAGCTGGACAATAACTTTATCCTAGAGCTGCTGTAAAGCCAAACAATCTCTGTTACTGTAATCTCCTATTATCACTGTAAAGCTGCTTTGAAACAGTCTATATTGCTAAAAGCGCTGTATAAATGAAGGTGACTTGACTTGACTGAAAGGCCTTTATAGGCTACATATACAATATTATTCCAGAGCAGTTATATGGATACTATAATAAACATTTGTCATTTATAATATGATATAAGAAGATAAATATTCACCTGCACAGTGAGTTCTGTGTTTCAGTGGCGGTCAGAAGCGAAGGAAAGGACTGAAGTGTCTCTCAGTCTCTCTCTCTCTCTCTCTCTCTCTCTCTCTCTCTCTCTCTCTCTCTCTCTCTCTCTCTCTCTCGGCACATGTGCACATTTGTAGTATCATATTCTCCTGAGCTGTACACATTTGTGTCTCTCCTCGGACAGGTGTAAGGCTGCGTTTGTTTGTGTGAAGGTCTGCAGTTTATTCTGGAGTTTCACGCTGGACGGAGGGGCGGGGCGATGGGCGGGGCGAAGAGGTGGGCGGGGCGGGAATATTTTAAATTATTACAAGGGTAATGATGAATAATTTTAAACGGACACATTTGTTTGGCACTGTCCATACCTTATGTAATTTAATAGTTGGGAAAAGTGTTAAGCATTTCTTATAAGATCCCACTTCAGTTCACATGTTGACCACGTGATGGCGCCACGACACAACTAGAGCACATCGTGCTGTTGTGCAAAAAAACAGAATAATAATCAAATTTAAAAAACGTAAAATCGTTTTAATTTTAACAGCAGATGACAAGCAACAACGAAGGTAATAGAAATATAAAATATAAAATATCTTTATAATGCCATACAGAACATTAGCCTATTTAATATGCATCCAAAAAGATGCATTAGGCTATATTTGCTGAAGACTTATTAATGGAATTTAATATCAACTTTAACCCAATTTGATTTATTAAACCAAATACAGCCAAAGTGAAGATTTTTTTGTATGTGTGTGTTCAGTATAGAACATTATGAAACTATAACATAATGTGACGCGCGCGTTGTTGTTGTGTAGTGCATCTTCTCGGCCACTAGATGGCGCCGCAGAACTGCAGCTTTTCCTCATCAGATCACTGGTGGTTTAACGCAAGAATCTTTACAGATTCTTCTGATCCTAGACCAAAAATGAAGTCTTTGCTCGCTAGTTTGACATGTTCGCCAACAGGCGATTAATACTAACGCAATCAAATGTCAGAAGTTTTGAGGCGAAGTCCCGCTGTCCTACGACAACTTTAACATCAAACACCAGCAGGAGCGCAGAACCTGAGTGGCAGAAGCATTTGTACATTTCAGAAAGTTTCTGAAAACAAAACTGTCTAAATATGCTTATACCATCATGTCCATAACTAGATATAATAGCATCTTAGCATGATATAAGTCAACATTTGAACCGCTTTAAAGTATGTTTGTTTTTTAACATCTGGGTCATTCTACGGAAATGTCCATTTTTCTGTCCCTAGCCTTTACAGAAATATTACACTTAAAAAAACACTTTAGAATTACAATTTCTTTACATTTTAAAATAAAACAATATGTTATTTGAACAATTACACCTTCTTGAGCCATCAAGTGGCAATATTTTATTTTTTATTAATTATATAGAATTCCAAACACCACAAAAGTGCTCGTCCCCACAGTCATGTACAGAGAGAAAATGCTTTATTTTGAGGCCAATAACAGGTTTTTACACCATTTAAAATACAATAATGTTTACATAACTATCTAATATATTATGTAAATGACATAAAAAAATGAAATGCAGAATAAATATTATAACATTTATAATGAAAGTAGTGGTCCCCTTGAGTTGTGTCACTGGTGTTACCGTTAAACAAAAATCTCTTATTTTGAAATAAAAATCACACTGATGACATCACTTGACTTCCTTCTTCCAATTTCCTAAATTTCTATGAAGAAAAGCCCATAATAAATCCTCTGTCTCTTTTCAGTTATCAGAAATATTCTCATTTATCTCATGATTTCATATGAAGCTTTTAGTTGAAGTCACTGGTATGACCTAATTTATTGTTAGGTAATTGTACAAAAAATGAGAATACAAATGGATTAAACTACTTAATTTAGATAGTATACCATGATTGACAACATGTGGTTTGATACCTTGCAGCAGCCATTTTGTAAAATGAATTTTTCATGAAAATTGTCACTGGTGTGACCTTTCTTATGGGTAACACCAGTAACACCAGTGACTCCCATTTATAGATAAACTTTACTCAAAGCTATTCATTTAGATTATATGCCAAATGTAACAATTTAGTCTCATCTACTTAATTATAGTTGAAGAATAATGATATTTGGTCTTATGCATGTCATTAGTGATTCATTGTGTCACTGGTGTTACCGTCTTTTTTTTCTGTCACATTAAATACAATGCCATATGTGACATGATAATAATTTTACATCCATTTAATTCTGCTACACTCAAAAGTTAAGATTTAAAGGATTGCATCATTACTCGATTTTAACTGGTTTTCAAATATTTTCATTGTTATAGCAAATACAAGGTTGCACAAATGAACTAACCTCATTCAAGCACACTTTTAACAAACCTGATTAAAATAAAATAAAACATAATCCCCTTATTTGTTGCATTATTATCATTGTTTGGTAACTCTGACTACATGTGCTGAAAAAAATTTGAAATAATATTTTATAAAAACATTTAATATTGCCAAAGAAGTAAGGTAACACCAGTGACAAAAAAATGGTACATGCGATCTTTAAATAAATGCACAAAAAATATAAAAAATCATTAAGCTGTCATTTATGCATATTCATAAAGTCAAAGGGTAATCTAATAATATGGTGTAAGTTTAAATGTTAGAAAAAGAAATACATTTTAAGACATCTTGCCATACCAAAAGTGGACGTTTCTGTAGAATGACCCATCTAAATCATTAGATATCTGTGTAAGTTGAAACCCAATACCCAGTCATTAAATAAATACCCAATAAAAAAGTAATTTCTCAATTTCTCAAAAAAAAAAAATCCTGTCGTCACTGGCACGCAATGCATTCTGGGGTAGGGTGTGTTATGGAGGATCCATGATCTGTTGTATCCTTTATGTCACGGGAAATGAAGAACGCATTTGGAGACGCAATCGGCTTTCGAACGATGTAGCGTATGAGTATCACTTGCTCCACACACGACACATCGTCTTCGGTTTTTCCCTTTCATTTTCACTTCAAGAAAAGGCATGATCCATATTAATGCTAGTGTTTGTTTTTGTTTGCTAGCCCCCTTTTCCATGGCGCCTGTGAGTGACACAGACACTGAGATGAACCCGCGACTGATGACAGACTCACTGTTTATGAATGTTGTCATGGTCTGCTTCATGTTACACACACACACCTTTAGTTCAGTCTGTCCCGCTCAGTTTAAACAGATCACACACACACACACACACACGTTTACTTTAGCTATCTAAATGGGGACATACCATAGACGTAATGGTTTTTATACTGTACAAACTGTATATTCTGTCCTCTTACACCATGGGTCACCAAACTAAGGCCCGCGGGCCGAATCAGGCCCGCCACCCCCCTTTGACTGGCCCCCCAACCCCTCTGCCCCCCAATACTTGAATCGGCAATCCCCAAAAGTCGTCATGCCCTTTTTTTTTCTTTTTTTTCTGTTTTTTTTTGGAAAATAATAACATGTCTGCATCTGGTATTTTGTTGATTTTTTTCAGTTAAAAATTTATATTTAGTTATAAAATGAACTATATTTGCCGAATTTTCGTCACCCGACATGCTCGAGATCGCGCAGAGACAACAACGCACGCACAGAGTACTGTCAGTGTTCAGGACAGCGAAATGGCTAGTGTTAAACGAAAAGTTGATAGAGAGTGCAGAGTTTTCAAAGAACAGTGGACCAACAATTATTTTTTGTTCAGTGTAAAAAAGTGCAGTTTGTATTTTATGTAAAGAAAGTGTGGCAGTTTTCAAAGAATATAATTTGCGTCGTCACCACGAAACCCGTCTGCTACACACACTCACAGACACACTAACCCGACCCCTACCTACCCATCACACACACACACACACACACACACACACTAACCCGACCCCTAAACCTACCCATCACACACAAACACACACACACACACACACACACACACACACACACACACACACACACACACACACACACACACACTAACCCGACCCCTAAACCTACCCATTACACACACTCACAGACACACTAACCCGACCCCTAAACCTACCCATCACACACACACACACACACACACACACACACACTAACCCGACCCCTAAACCTACCCATCACACACAAACACACACACACACACACACACACACACACACACTGCCAAAAGCACTAAAAATGCAGAACAACTAATTCACATTAATAAATCAGTAGCGATCAGATTAATCAAAATGATCAACAACAGAGGTTTTGATTCGAGTTTATAAAGAACTTTAAGCTTTAAATACAAACTCAGACACAACATTGTAGCAAAAACAGAATGTATTTACAACACACAAGTGTCAGAAACATTTCATGATCGCAATAACACGGTGAGGAGTGAGAAAGATCTGAACATGAACAGAAGCAGATAAAAAAAAAACAGGAAAAATATTTATTATTATTATTTATAAATAATTTAAATGACAAGGCCCCTGACAATACAGATTTACTAACACTAATTATTACTGATCTAATGAGGTATAAAAATATAAACATTGATCAAACCACTGAAACAAACACATGTAAGTATGTTGTTGAATCTCACTGAACATGTCAGGTCACATTTCACCTCAAATATTGAATTTTGAAATAGTCTTTTGGAATATTCCTTCAAATAAAATAATTTATGTATGATTTTGTGACATTATTTTAAAGACAATTAAGCACAATTTCCCTATAATAATAAAAATAAAAATTAATAATAAAAAAATATATACAGAATATATTTATACAGTTGTTGACTAAATTATTCAACCCCATTGCAAATTGGGTTTATTGGTAAAATTTACAGACTTTCAGCAGTTGAACAAATTTTAAATTTTTATTTATTCACAATTTTTTTTTTTTTTTTTTAAATGGCTCAACACAACAAATGTTTCAAGTGGTTTCCCCAAATTACAGTGAAAATGCAACTTTTAATGACTTCCACAGTCTCAAAGTGATTCAACCCCCTGGATAGAATCCCTCACAACAGCAAACATCTGCTAAAT